AGCCATCATTTCTTTATTTTATGCACACAGTGCGGTTTGTAATTTATTAATTGTAATAATCACTGTGAATCATAAACAATGCTTAGAACTAAACGTTCATATATAATCAATTTCAGTGTACATCATAAAAAATTTGTGAAGACTGCTTCAAAGCACAATTTTTGAAATTTTATGATGATAATTTCTCTGCTCGGTGATTTCGAATTTTTGTAATGAGGACTATGATCAGTAAAGGTAAAATAATAACAAACTTAATATCCAACTAGCTAGATCAGCAAATTCATTAGAACGATTTTTCTTGTAACCATCCACATATGAGACTATACATTAAAAAAGAAAAAAAAAAACTAAACAGTACATTGCAAGAAATTCTTATCAAAGAAACATTTGAAAGAACAAAGAAAAAAAGAACAAATGGAAAGGAAAGAATAAAATGCTGAAAATAAGTCAGGCCTCCGAATATCATTCATTCCCTTTGCACCAATTTCCAGATATTACTTTTTTGAAATTCTATGGAAAAGTTGGTTTCTTCCAAAGATAAATTTTTTTTTTCTGTTTATATTTTATCCCTATTCCTCCACATATACATTTGCTTGGAACTATTTTTATTCTTTGCTACAGTCAAGATGGCATACTAAATTTCAGGCTGAGGAGCACCTGAGCCCAGGTAAAGGAAGTATTTCTGCTATGAAAATGGAAAAGGAATTTGTGGCGATTTATCATCTATCATCCCTTAGGCTAGGCGCAGAGTTTTCATGTCTGCTTCTCATCCTACTTCATGATTTGAGGCTATACTTCTTTCATGATCATGAATCAAGCTTACTGCAGCTCACTAAATGAATAGTTTGAGCCTTTCAATGAAGTAAATGGCTCTGCAGATAGGGTAGTAAATACAGAAACACATTTTTAGACAGTAGCAGTTACTTGGAGCTAATAAGCAGTTTGCTTGAAGAAACGTGCTGCAGCAGTATTGGGGTTAGCAGATTTTTTACTTTAAATTCCATTCAATTACGTTTCATGCTTTGAGATGGAAAAAACACCGACAAAATTTGGAACAGCTCTAATCTTCCAACGCTTCGGTTGATTTCAATCTTCAAAATAACTAAAATTAACAAAAACGGTCAAAAACAAGTTTTAATATCAAATGATCAGGTTTTAATGTGGCGGCAAACTCAAATATTATGTCTGTTACTGAAGACACTACCGTGCCGATCCTAGACTGTCGGCCGCCCAGTGCAAATTAAAATTGGCCGCCCCCTTTTTTTACAGAAATATAAAATGTTTGATAATCATTTCGTCCTCCACGTGCTGTGCACCTCTTCCCTTCCGCTAGGATCGGCCCTGGGTGAAGAAGTGCCACAGCAGGTGTTTATCAGTAGGTAATTCAAGTGTTGTCCTCATGTACTATGTATTTATATACACCAACGTCCTACAGGGCCCTGAGTGCCCCCCATGATTCGCCACACCCTATATTCAGCTCACCGCGCCCCGCACCGTCAGTGGTATCTGGGTTCTCATTCGTTTTCTACATTACTTTACTGAAATAATTTACATAAGTAAGTTAGTTCTATGATTCCTATGGTAGTTGATTACATTTGTTATATATGGCTGCATTACGTTTAACTGTGGTTTCAGTAATTACTATTTTGGTATTCGCTACTTAGTTAGACATTTCATAATATTTCTTAATTGAAAGTTCACTGTTGTATAAATATGCGCAATAATATATAGCTGTTTAAAAGTATTTCTTTATGTTTGTAAGTTGCTGGTATAGGAGTGGAGATGCTTATGTTATCTAGGTATACATGGTTCCTCGTCTTCTGTTGCTAGATTTCATATTATTACATGCATCTTCTTTTTCAGATGTCCTTTTTTCATTGCATAGCGTAAGAGCCTATCTAGATTTTAATTGGGTCTTTGAAAATGTAAAGTTTATGTTATGGGACAATTAAGTAAATAGTGTCTTGAATCACTTCTTTCCCCTTATACACACACATTTGACATAGCAATGAACATTGCATGCAAACAAGTATCTCAAGAATACTCTACGCTGCTTTTAAACATCCGACTGAACTCTTGGAGGGCAAAAAATAGTTTGTTTTCCAAGCGAATATTTGTTTGGAGCTTCTAAAAATATTTTTAAAATTTTGTCTGTTTTAAAAGTTTATTCAAATTTTTAACTATTTGTGAAGTTGAAACAATAAGCGATTTTTAAATCAAAAGAATGTTAGCAGACGCATGATTTTTAATCGATAGTGAGAATGGATATCCAGATCAAACATAAATTTAAAGAAACTGACTGCAAACTTACGTTGGATTAGAAAGAATGTTTTTATTTTCGGTGGTAGTTATTGTTTTGTTTATTACATTTTTTTTTTGCATTCTATAGAATAGAATGTATAAAATAAAGTTAAAAAAACTTTTAAAATTATATTCAGATTCATTTGAAAGGTTTAAAAATGTAGATATTAAAATATTATTGACCATGCACGAATTGTATAAGAAAATTAATAGAATTTTCAAAGGACAATAGAACCGATGTGGAGTAAGGTATGCAAAAAAGATTACATTCAGTTCCTTGAACATTCTCTTTGAAAATATTTATTTAAAATCTGCCAAGAGCTTTTTTTTTTCCAATGCACTTCATCGAAACCTGTAATTTAAAAATACATTTTATATATTTCATTACTTAAATACGAAAGTAGAAAGTACTACTGGAATAAGAGAGACCTGTGTAGTCAAGAAGTTTGCGCATTAAGCTTTTAAAATATTTGCAAAAAAGAGGAAAGTTCAAAAAGCGATTGTTTAAAAGTACATTTGATACTGTATTTCCTGAGTATAAAAGTTAGACCATGTAAAAACAACAATACAATACTAAAGGAGTAAATGTTTTCGCGTAAAAACATAATGTAAAAATTTACAAAACGAGATAACTTCAAAACCAAAAAGAGATGAAAAAAACTAATAAGTTTTAAATCAAAAATTTTAATTTTTAAATGATGCACGCAAATAATCAAAAGCATTTCAAATACACAGAAAATACGTACAGAAAATTGCAATAAAGGATAAATTAGCCCAACTCGAGGCTTATAAGGGACCTATCAAGAAAAAAGCGTCACAAAACTCGAATCCAGCTAATTCCATTAGCGCGTTTTGTCAACCGAAAACAATTAATACTGAAAGCGGAATTACATTAATAGAATAATCAAACTAAATTATCTTAATATAGTAAGTCTAAATGGTTCTGCTTCTTTTCCCAACGCGACTGCAATTTAAAATTGTATATGTAAAACTTACTATTTAAGCAAGAAAAAACTATACAAGAAAGCCTATTTAGGCGAAAGTACAAATTAAAATAAAAAGCTAAAAAGCTATTAGTAAAAAATTACACAATTTTAAGGGAGATCCCAATGCGCATGAAGAATATAAACTTTTTTAAAGAGAAGAATTAAAAGAAACATAATAAAAACGTCTCAAAATGGGTCTTGCTAAGACCAAAGGCAGAGAAAAATAGAAGACTAACATACCTGCGTCCATAGCATTGGCCTAACCAAAGTAAAGTTAAGCATAAACTGCCGAAAAAAAGTTGTCGGAATTAGAAAAATTCCACAGGCTACCAGAAAAGGAAAATAGTCAAAATTCTCCAATTAGGGGGTGAGGCGACGTTGAAGGGGGAAACAAACGTAATGAAGCAGTAGCCAATGGTACGTAACGGCCAGTGGGATTGTTTTGTTAGGGACGGATTAATAAGAAATTTTTCAAACACTTTTATGAATGAGATTACTCGAAGATTGTTTTCAGTGCTCAAAGTTTATTTTCAAATGAAATTCTTTCTAATGATGAAATTTCCTAAATTTTCCAATTGTAGCTTTTCTTTCTTTCTAGTTTTAAACATTGTAATTTTACATGCTACAAAAATTATAAAATTTAGCTTTCTCGCAGTAATTTAGCTTAACTCTTATCACTAAAAATTAGGACTGTAATGATTAAATTATTAAACTAATTAAAAATAATTAAACATAACCATATTTATTGGAAATAAAATTTTAATGATTAAACTAATCTAATTAAGATGATTAAATTTAATTATACCCATTAGTAACTATACAGGTTAGGAATAGAATTGTTTGAATTAAATGATTCAAATGCTTAAATATAACTATTTAAACTTAACTAAAATCAGTTGTCATTTAAAATAGATTGAAGAAGAGTAAGGAAACTGAAAAACAAGATTTAGATTAAATATTAATTGTTTGCATCTTAAATTTAAGGTGAGTTTAATGGTTAGAAATATTATTAGCTCTCCTTGGAAAAGTATTCTAACAGTTTCTGTGGAAAAGTTTTCAGCTGAATAAAAGTATACCATTCATCCCGTTTTTACTCTAAACACAGGTACAGAAGACATAAATAATGATAAACAATGAAATAGGTAATAATCAGAAACTTTCACTATCTGCCCAGAAGAACTCTGTATCTGGTACCTTTATTGTTAACGGCATTGATTAATTTCTAAATCCTAAATTCGCTAGATATGTAATATGCTTAATAGGTAAATTTATAAGGACTGCTCCAAACTTATATATAAAATATACAAATAATAAAAAGTAATAAACAAGGTTGTAAAAAGAAGGTTATATTATGTGTTCAGGAAATATGTTTACCCTTGATCTTATAATTAATTATATTATCAATTATCTTTAATTATATTATCATTTAGTTTCTAAAATTGTTAGATGTATTTATCTGTTGTGTGGTGATAGACACTATATTGATCGTTTACCCCCTACTCAGATACAGAAGAAAAGCAATAAGCAAAATAATAAAAAGAAACGTATTGTCTATGCAAGAAAATTTTATATGTGTTGTTAATTGTATTATCAGTTTTTAAACACAACACGGTGTTAACTTTGATTCCATTTCATCTTTGATGAAGCTTATCCGGAAAATGAAAGAAGCGTGTTTATGTCTGCCACTTCTAATTTAAAGTTTCTCTTTTTCAGATTAAAAGCATGGTCGTTAAACTTTGCGCTATGAGAAACGAGTATGCGAGGAAAAAGAGAAGCACTCGAACCAAAACTGCCGAGTTCGTCAAGCTGGATAATATGAGCTGCAGAATGAACCAAGTGAGATTAAAATTTCGAGACTTCATTTCAACTCCCTTTTCGAATTTAACAAACTCGACTAAATTAAATATGCGACTATCGGAAAGAGAATTTAGGAATACAATTAGATATATTATCTTTTACTCTGTGATTGCATTTAGAAGTATAATGAGATGTATCGTTAGGAATCTATTGAATTCCGATGCAACTCTCGCAGTGTCTTTTCTTGTTTTAAGCCTTAGGTTTGTGGCTCTAAATGATTAAACATCAAATTATCGAACGGCGAGAGGGCGATGCCAGCGTTCGATGTATATATATCTGTATAGTATATCCATTCCGAACATTCGCGAGGAATTAATTGCATTCGCAGCTGAATTACGAACCTTCCTATTCTATGCAGTTAAAACTTACGCAGAATTCCTAATTCATTATGCCTTGTCTTCTTCTTGCTGTCTGTTTATAAGGACAAATCGTCACTAGCATAGACGAGAAGAATCGGGACTTCGGATTAATCCAATTAGTAGGAGGATCTTGCCGAACTGAAAATTCTCCGCTGTGCTTGGAGCTATTTATAGTCTGCTGTTGTACTTCATTTCCACAGTTCTCGCACAGAAACGATATATCTTGGACTAAGGAAGCTACTTAGATTTGTTTGTTTAAAATTTGTGTTGAAAACAGATACTACAGCGTGATTACTCTAGCAGGGTTAAAGTTTGAGGCTTTGCTTTTCTTAGGTGGTTAAATATTATGCATAGTGATTTTTCAAATTTTCTGCATGTATGAAATTTAAAATGAATCAAATTCTACCCAGAGAGTGAATTTTCGGACATTTATATAGCATTCCAAGCTCCTGCCTTCAAACGATGGTTTAACTGAAAATACAACAAAGAGAAAAATGAGGAAGCAAAATGTACCATTATAGATTTAAAATTTTAATATATTATATTAAAAATTAAATGACGTAGTCTATATATGCAAAAACGTTGTAAAATGATAGAAAGTTTACTTTAAAATTTAAAAACATAAATCGAAATAAACAGTACTTTTACAAAGTTTTAGGACTATTGAAGAAATGCTACCTACATGGTTTCCATAATATGGTGCCTAAGGTATTTGCTCTAAAATAAGTACGAATCAAAATTATGCTGCAAACATGACTATTAAAAGCATCCTCACCTTTATAAAGTTTCTTTTCTTCACGTAGAAGGAAAATGATTTTGTTTGAACTTTCAATAGAATATTAATAGAAGAAATATTATATTATTTTTCTTTGAAAGCGAAGTGATTTTATTTATAGTAAGCACTAAAATTAATTTATAGACAATTTAAAGAGAGAAATATGTTTCTTAAACCACAGAGCCCTACCAGCGGCCAGGTGGTTAAGACCCACTGAACTGGTAGCTCAAGCTTCTTTGGGTTCAAGTCCAAGCCAACGGGCTGGTGGTATAGTTGGTTTTCCCCATGTGTAACCTGTCTACTAGCCAGTTTTCCTCAGGAAGTCCTCCACGTAGACATTTCTCCTCTTAGGCAGATAGCCTTCCTAGGTTTGCCATATTCAGATAACCAAGCCTAATCTTAGATTACTGAAGCGAATTCAAAGAAGAGTTTTACTAAAAGTTTGCATGGCTACAGAGCAATTACCTATGAAGGTTATTTCCCAATTACAGGTTTCACCCCTAGTGATTTTCATGCTTTACATGAAAAAGAATTTAAAAACTAATATCAGCAAACATATGTTCCAAACCGAGGTGGTATTTAAGGACCTCCCTCACCCTAGTGATCCTTTGACAATTCAGACTAGGATTTGTGACAATTCTGTGAAAGATAATTTCCCATTTGTGTGTTAGACAGATGACAGTTAAACTGATAGTCGAATTAGACTAGCTTATGTCGTTTTTCATCATGATTCTGAACTGGACAAAAAACTCTTTGGAATTCTTAATGAATTTGCTTTTTTTCAGGACGAATTACTATGCATTAGTGAATTAATTATGTCGCTATCTAATCATTGTTTATTAAATTGTAACCTCCTTATTTAAACCATAGACCTGTTATATACTAGACGGAGCATCGCCATTCAAAACCGGGTGAAAAAGCGGCACAGGAATGAGCTTCAGGAGTTTGGGCATGAAATGGAACTGAACCCAGACTTTGGCGGGCTATCGCCATGGCTTGCGATTTTTTTCTCCTCTTTTCTCTTAGTTCGAAATGCGAACTTGGGAAGATGTCATTTCGCAGAAGCTGCCGTTGAATTTGCAGAAGAGGTTAGATCGATAAACACCAGCCAAAATTAATAATTTCCCTAAAATTGGACACTTTATTTTTAAATTTAACAGGATAATTTTCATGCTGTAGAATAATATTTTGTAATATGTCCATCGGCGTCTACAAAATTTAAAATAAAATAAAAAAAAACTGGAACAAACTAAATTAATAATAATCTGAAATTAAAAATACAAAAATTTTAGTGATAGATTCAAATGCAGAACGATTCTTAACGAATTTAGTATCGTAAAATATAAATTTTATACAAGAAAAACTTTTTATTGTAATTAACTCCAAGATAACTATAAGTTTAAGGAATTTTATTTCAATCACAATGCATATATTATACTGAATATGACTAAAAAGACTTGCACTTTCCAAATAAATAACATCTAATGGCATCTAATCATAATTACATATAACTTTCTTTATAACACAGTAAATGTATAAAAATAAATAATTAATAATAATAAATAATTGTTACATTACATAGACCCTAAAAATCAGAGGCAATAAAGCTACAAGTGAAGTTCAGAAAAGAAGTATGTACATTATGTTCACAATAAAGTCATATAAACAGTAGTAATATGTGAAAGCTTACATTAAACTTCTACTACAGAATTTATATACATTACTGAAAGAGATCATTTTCATTAAATGTTCACAAACACATAAAAGAAAAGGAAGCACACTTTTTCTTGGCATGTGTAGAAAACCTACATGCTCTCCTTCAAAAAAAAATTTGCTATACACTTTAATACACTAATACTACCATATATCATATAATGTGTCAAATTTTAATACATAAGGCTAAAAAAACTAAAGAAAAATTATTTTCTGACAGTGAATAACCACTCAAATAATTCAGAACCAAGAAATAAAATTTACTAAAAATGGGGGAAAGAGTCAAAGCATATAACTAATATTTGATCAAATGTGCACTAATGACCTTTAAATAAAGTTGTTTTGGTGTTAATGCTACGAATTTTTTTAAGTTGCAGTTTTTCAGTAATCTGTTTCCCCACATGATAAAATCTGATTTTTAAATATTCAAATAAGATAGCTTTCATTAAAGATAATCTATGGTTTTCTAATGGAGAAAAATTTAAAGTGTGTGAATTTAACGAGGTGAAAAGGGATTCAGATTCATGGAGGGTCTTAATAATTAGTCGATGCATAATATGACGTTTCACTAAATCTCCTGCAGCTTGCGCTACTCTGAAATTTCTTTCCCCATTTTTACAAAGTTTTACAACGTTGGCAGCCGGAGTGATTAATACACCCATATTTTTCCTTTGTATGAAAGAGCCGTTTTCGAAGTGTAAGTCCCTTCTTAAAGCTGATAAGCAATATGCACAATGTATTTTTTTTAATAATTTCCTCACTACGAATCCAGAAATGTATTCCACTATATCTGAAATGTATTGCCTTACTTTTTGAGGATACTCATCCGAATATAAGTGGATTTCTAATTCATTTCTGTTGTCTGAAATACCATCGTCATTATCACTATCCTGATGAAAGTAATTCAGTTGAGACACATATTTGTTCGTGGCAGATGTAATATTTAAATATGTGTCTCATCCAAAATAATACAATTAGCATTATCAGATGTGATGATTTCATGATGGCATAACAGTCTTATGTATGCAGCTTTAAACTGCTTAACAGTTGGATTGTTGTTATGTCCACCTTTCATTCTAATTGCACTAAAAAACATTTCGAGATGGTCTTGCGAAACCTTGTATGTTAAAAGGAACTTCATTATAGGATTTGGCCCCTGACACAATTCAGTGTACAAATGTCGAACGCTTTTAACAGATGTTAAAAAGCCCAAAAATCCCATTTTCCTATTGCTTACAAGGATATGGTCCCCATTAGCCGATATTCTAAGGCATCTTATGTATGCAGCAGCATGTTCTAAAAAGTCAAAAATTATATGATGATTGTTTGCATTTAGTGGTGATTTGAACCCTTTGCTTAATATATTTTTGGAATTAAGGATATCAAATAAATTGTTGAATATCGTTAAAAAGCGAACTGTGGCAGCAGCACCCTGAAATTCCTTAAGTTTAAGATCATCACATAGGTAAGTTAAGGAATTGGCAACACTTAGGCTGAAAACTTGAGAGGCAAGTTTAACTTTCATTTTTTCTCGTTGCCACTCAATGTGTCTTCTGCGCAATTTATTGGCAGCATGCAGCCCACATTTTTCTTTTCTTGATATTCCACCAAGTCTATTACATACTGCCAATTAATCATTTCACCATTCTCATCAAAAATAGAACCTTTACTGGCTAAAGTGTTTCTTATTAATTTGATCATATGTGAAGCATCCAAGAAAATGTATATATCTTTTTTTGTCACCGGATGTGGAAAACTATTTTTTAAATGCTCAGCGTTAATATTTGCGCCAAGATTATTTACTGTGCTCACATTGGCACTCAAACCATCAAAAGTTAAAGAGACTATGTCTATTCCAATACAGTGTAATCGGCCTAAGGCATCTTTTATTAAATTTGCTCTTTCATTGGAATTTAATCCATTAATGAGAAAATATGCAATTGGAATTTTCCAGTTTTGGTTCAAAGCATTGACCATAAATACCAAAGTCTCCTTTGCAACAGGCATTTCATCGTCGTCAACGTTACTTCCCATATCTACATATCCTAAATATTTACTGCCATCCCACTCAACATGAGATCTTATGGCCATTTCATCCATTAATAAGCCACAGATGAGCTTCTTATTTTCTT